CTTAAGAACATGCTGGTTTCAGACATGAAAATATGGAGACCCCAAAAACAGCACGGAGTATGCAAAGTAACTAACACGATAGCATCTGGACTGCCTACAAAATTACTTTCAATGACACAGTGTACAGTCCTGTGTGCCTTGAGACAAGCAATTGTGGCAGGACCCCAAAGCATATTTTTAGTTGCCTGTCCTCCATGAATCTTGTGACTGGGAGAGAACCCTGATCTTCATCACCTTGGAAACATTTTAGTTGGGGTGCTGCCAGGCTGCAAATGTAGATTTTGAAGATGTAAATATGTTGATGGAGATTGGCTGTAATTACATTGACAATGCTGGGTATTGCCCTTTGTTGGGAAAAAAAGTGCACCAGAATCCTATATTACCTTTTACTTAATATAACTTTACATATATTTAGCTAAGTAGCAGAAGCAATAAGAAATCCTGTTTGTGAATTGCAAATATGCACATTGGGACACCTGCAAGAATTCCTGATGCACATCAGGACTTATGTACATCAGTGTGTGATGCACATAGGTGTGCAATTTGCAGTGGTGTGAGATGTGCATTGGTGCAAAATGCACATCAGACACTTTGCCGGCTCTGCTACATAATAATGCAATAGAAGCCCTCTACTGGATATGGAGATCACAAAACTGACCAATTCTAATTTCCACATATATAAGTCATTTACAAAGATGTACTTCCATACAGGATTCCAGCTATGATTATTATAAATAATTTGATGCATTCCAATGGCTTTTTAAGATCAAAATACACATTCTCCTTTCTCTCTCACACAGAGATGCACAGATAGTATACACATTCTCTCTCTCTCTCACAACCCACACACACACACACATCCCTCTCACACCTCTCACTTTCTCTCTTACACACGCACCTCTCCTTACAGACATACAGGCACATGGACACACACACACCAACTTTGTGTCTTCCTTTCAAATGCACTCATCCACTTCTCTCCTTAGAAATACACAAATACAATTCCCTTCATGCTCTTTTTTAAAAAACAACAATAATAGCAACAAAACCCTTTTTTTTTTTTTACTCTGAACTGTCTTTATCCTGAGTGAGAAGCACAGGCATGGCTTTTGTAGTCCAAATCTCAGCAGAACTGATTTGTACAATATGTACGAATCACCAAAACATCACCAGTCCCTTTTGAAATTAAACACGGTCAGGCCTGGTTTGCACTTGGCTAGGAAATCACTTAAGGACTTCTGGATCAGGTTAGGGGGAAAATCCACCAGAAAGCTCTGGAGAACCATTGCTACCAGTCAGACCTGACCATACTGGGGTTGACGGACCAGTCTTATCTTGGATAAGCAGCTTCCTATGTTCCTAATATGCGGTCTGTAAATGAGCCAGAGTGGCATAGTGGTTTGAGTGTTGGACTATGATTCTGGAGAACAGGGTTTGATTCTCAGCTTGGCCATGAAACCCATTGGGTGACCTTAAACAAGTCACATGCTCTCAGCCTCAGGGGAAGGC